AAAAAAAAAAAAAAAAAAGAAAAATCACTGAAGCGGCACAAAATTTAGCCAAAAGGCATAAAAAATTAGCTCAGCGATGCCGCGCTAAAAAGCAGCCGGATTTCAGAAAGGTTAAACTGCTAAAAACGAATTTTTAGAGCAAACCCGAGCAAGAACAGAAAGCGCTGAGTAGTTTTAGACAGGGATGCACTTGAAATGAGGTGAAGGCAATTTTTTTTTTTGAAAGCCTAGTATGATTCAGAAGCAAACAGTGTATCATTTGAGAGAGAAAAAAAGTGAAAAGACCAGGACAAGTAGAATACAACAATTCTTTTTAAAAAAAAATCCCCTAAAAAAATTTGAAAACTGTTGGAAGGAGATGATGCTCGGCATTCAGAACTCGGAATATCGATTTTCGTCAGGCATGAATATCGATTCTGAATTCCCGCGTTAACAGCACACCCGGCTTTCGAATGATCAATGTTTGGGCATCACGATCATGCGTGTAATCGGCCGTTTCTGGATTCCAGTCTGAAACAAAAGCATACATTATCAAATGCAACAGGTTTTTGGGATATCCTTCCATGCTGAATGGGTAGATGTTTGTTGCTGCCAGGCGACGTTCGTACCTTCATGCGTAGTATGTTGAATTAAGGCTTAAAATTTTAGAAAACCCGTGCAGTACGCTCAACAGTGCTTAGTACATGGTGCATGCATTACTCTCAAGCAACGAAACGATAAATGAGAAAGATTTTGAGAATGAGAGGAAACCAACGATCACAAAAAAGTTTCCGAACACTTGGCTGGTTTTAGAAATGAATATTTTTGGTAAAACAAGCAAAAACCAAAAGCTTCCGCTCGGAATCAACTCGTAATCCTCGAAGCGAATAAGCTTTGCAAGAGCATAAACTGCACCAAATTTAAGCTCAAATATGGACGCACTCCCAGTGCCACAACTTTTTCAATCAAATTTGGAAAAAGCCAATGCAAACAACTGGAAACTCCAAATACATATCGAAAAATGTACATGATTTCGTTAGTTTTTGCAGAAAAAAGCCAAAAAAAACCATTACCGTCGAGATAAATGTGTACGTTTGTTGGATAATATCGAACACCTCGTACAACAATTTTTTCAATATAAATGTTGTTTTGAAGCTTCCCCCTTCTATCCAGATTTTTGGACGAAATCGAATACAGCTGGTCGCCTTCTTTTTTGTAAATAAATCCCCAGTATAAGTACTGGCCATTTTGGTAATCGAATGTCTCGCCATCGTCCATATAAATTGTACCATTCGAGAAATCACCCTAAATCCATGTCAATCCAGGCCAGTTTAGTGATAATATGTATTTATAAATATTAATCTATTTTATTTTGTATTTCGTAAATCTTTTTTCATTTTCTTCAGAATTACTAGCTGAAGTCAAGCACATTTCAACATGGCCTTTCTCCCTCAAACAAAATAAGTAGTGAGGCCAATTCTTGACATCTGCACATCACAAAATATAATGTGAAAGTAGCTGGATCAGTAAATGACCCGGAACGGCATTTCAACTTCCAGCAGTAGTTCGGGATCTGTACCAGCGCGGCACGAAGATAAAGAAAACACACATGGGCAGGATAATACTGACTAAATTAAGACCTAGAGTGAAGGAATCAGGAGAGGAATGAACCAAGCTTTCAAGTTTTTTTTTCGAAAGAACTGGAAATTCCTCCGCCAAGGTGTTTTGGTTCGTGAGTTATAAAATTTTTTAAAAAAAGCATGTGTTTTTTGATTCGTGAGTTATAAAATTTTCTAGGATTTCGAAAATTTTCTACGATTGAATTGAAAAAAATTTTCTAAGGTTGAGGTTGATTTCATGTTTTTTATACGAAACGCAGTTTAGAAAGTTTATTCTCAAATGTTTAGGTTCTCGTTGTTGATTGGTTCATCAGTGCTGAATTTGGACCAGGAACCAAAGGTCAAAGCAGAGAGCATCCTGGGAATGATTTCATTTCAACAGCTCGAATTCGACAGAAATTTTTGCTTATTAAATAATTCCAAATTCCTCGAGGTTCCAGAAATGTATGCGCAGATCGGTAAATATATAAAACAGGCTTAGAAATAATACATTCTTGCATCTTCACGCACCACAAAAGAGCACAGAAATGGAGATTTCAGCTTTTTTTTTGTTTTCGCTGTTAAACCCAAAAAAAGTTAAGTGCACGAATTTTTAATTCAAATACGTATGACAACTTTTGATGCCACCAATACATCTTTTCCCGTCTTTTTCGATGAGCAAAACTGTTGGATTTTACAAAAATTAAAGAAATTACCTTCAGATTGATTGCAATATACAATGTGATGGGATCTTGACGCATAAGGGTTGAAGCTCGCCTTACTCGTTCCCATGTTGGAATAATTGTACCACCGCGTTGGAATAGAGGTATTGCATCCAGAGGAGCATCTACATACACAGCACCAGGGGCGATTCGACCCTAAAATAAGTTAAACTCTCTGTAACTCCTTGGCGACCAATGATAGTTTTCTCAAAAACATTCAAAAAAAAACTTGATTTTAGCACTTTTTTTTCCAGCTAATTTGACGCCGGTTCAAGCTGTTTTTTGCCCCCGACAAACGGTAACGAAAAAAGAAAAACCTTATGATCGCTCCATTCGTACCATATAACATTCCTTACGCCTGGTAAATACAAAGATACGGATTTCACATCGGGATCCATGATCGGACGTACCAGCAAACCAGCACCCACCAACCATTCGCGCTCCTCATCAAATGCCCCTTCATCGTCCGGGAAT